CCAGATTCAAAGGGACCATAATTGAGAAATAATTGATAAAATCCATTTAATGGAGGAACAGAGAGAGATGGCACACAGCACAGAATTTGATCGGGGAAGTCTGCATTTCCTAATTAACATTACATCTGATTCTACAGAAGAAATTTTGATGGGGAAACTATCAAGTCTACCCAGAATCTAATTTATAAATTCAACGGAGAGTCTGAAGGTAAGAGTAATCAATGAACTGTACTGATTTTACAGTAAAAGACTTGTTTTTTTCCACTGAACACTTAGAAAGTCTTTCAAGTCAACCCAGAACAAATGTATTCCATTATATATTAATTTTGGAACAGAGAAACTGAGATGAAACTCTTTGTCCACTGATTCTCTTGGCCTTTCTCATTCTTTATTTTACTAGGTTCTTTTTCCTTTATTACAGACCCCCAATATTTATTCTGCCCCATGGCATGCCCTTTGAAGGTCAAAGCTGTTGTGCACCTATGTCCTAGAGTAGATATTAGCATCTCTGCAGAGGTTTGCTATATCTATAGGCTTTTTAGCTACAAAGCAGGACTCCACCCTCCATCTGCTCACCAGTTTCTCCAGCACTTAGAAATTATATCCCACCCTGTGGGCGCAGGCTGTCCTGGAACAATACACTCTGCTGGGCTGCAGAACCACAAGCCCTTGCAAAGGAGGATGTAAGAATAATAGAGCTCCTTCCCATCTAATATGGTAGGAAGACAAAGCTGCACGTGAAAAAGTTTCTACTTGGCTACAATGCATCCACTAGCTTTAAAGATTATACTGTTAAAACAAAAAGTCTAAAATCTGACCTTCACCGACAAGAATTTTGACATAATGTTACATATAGGAGCTACTAAAACCAGATTCAATTATTTCCTAAAATAAAGAAAAATCATGTTAAAGCAAGGCCTGAGTTTTAAGAAAGGGCAATCAGCACAACGTATTTTTTAATAAACATATATTTGAAGTATGGGAGATTTTATCTGTCCCTTTAAATTCAGAAGTAATTCTACATGAATTTACAGGATTGTATAATAAATATCTTGGACCTTGATTGTGATAATTTCTGTCAAAAGAAGCTAGATTTGGTTAAGAGTTAGAGGTATGCTCTACTGATAAGTCTAATGAAAATAACTTTTCAGATAGGACTCCTAGATTCTATGAAAAATAGCTCTTTAGATAACCAAGCAACCATAACCAAGAATTATTTCAAAGTACACAAACTGTCCACATGAGACATTTTCTTCTGTTAGTGTTACTCAATAAAAGACCATTGATTCATAAAAACCACCAGAATCATGCCCAATTAGATGAATTTGCTAATGCTTTACTTTTCCCAAGTTCCAGAGATGTTATACTGTAATCATTAATTACAATCGTGTAATTTTCACAGAATCTAGTTGCTTTTAGAATTTCAGAGGGCAAAGTGCATGTGAGAGGCTAACCTGACACAAATGGGTATTTGTATTTATTAGATTGCTTTGTTCATTAGATGGTTTTATTTGTATTTAAATGTTGTTTTAATGATATGTTAAGGTAAAAAAATAATAGTTGATAGATGGAAAGAGTAGAATTGAACTCTGGTATTTTGTTAGCTTCAGCATTAGACTTCACTAATGCAAAAGGTTTCAGCAGAAGCTCGCAGGGTAAAGATTGTAAATTCAGTTTAGCTTATATAATCATTTACAGGAGACTCTATCTCTTTGATTCTATTTTAAAATATTTTGAAGCACTAACCAAAATGAATCCCCTTAAATGAGTATCTGGGTGGTAATGTTCATGAAATGAGGTTTTATCTCAAAAGAAGGACACAAAAGTCATCCTGTGATATCCATTCCCTGTTAATGTCACCCAATATATTCCCCCACAGAGCCAGGTTTAAGTTGAGATTTGTTAATAATGGCAGTTAATGTCAGATTGCATTCAGAGAAGAGCTCTGAAGGAGGGGAGGGTAATAAAAGGGCACAAACATTTTTTCTGGAGGGGTTATTGGAGCCTTCAGATCTCTTATGGATCCCCTCCATCTACTTTTTAAATTCTCACAATTAATCCAGAATACCCATTTTAATTAAACAACATTATATTTTTAGAACTGGAGAAGGGATCAGCAAGGAGCCCCCATTTGTTATTGTTGTGTTCAGTCATGGTACTAATATTTGGTCAACCTGAGCCCTTTCTGGACTCTTGAGTACAAGACCTGAGATAATACACAAATGGGAATATTTAATCCATATTTACTAAATGAAATGGAGTCCTCAAAAGTTTTTGCTTCTCAGTTAGTATGCAATGGCTAAAACATGTTAGCTCCTAACATACGTGTACCCTAATAACACAAAAATATGGTCAAAGAGACAATTTAAAAAATGACACCAACCAACCAGTGCATGATTAGACCTAGGACTGAGCTTTATATTGATGCTTACACTGGTGGGGAGCACTATAAAAATGTGATATCATGTATTAGATAACAAGATCAAGCAGAGCAGGATGGATATATGCATTTTATGGTGTATGTGTTCTCTTCCATACTATGTCCAAAGTGAAAGGAAAGGAGTTCAAAATCACATCCACATTAATCTATTAAAAAACCAACAACCATTAACTTCCATTCCACCTGAGTTTGATAAACATCAGTTCTCAACCTCCCTTCCTAATTATCACCACCACCACCCCAAACTCCAGGTGGATATTGCTATAGGCAGGGCCTACATGGTTTTCTTCTAAGGCAGCCTCCAGCCCTACTGTGCCAAGTGACCATTTCTAGATGCTCACCTCCAGCATATTTTCTTCCAAACATGCAATTAAGAGAGCTTTTACTTGCAAAACAGTTTCTGTGCTTTCATGCCAAGATTTAAATATACATTGATAAGAAGAAGCAATGGGAAGCTCATTATATAAAAATAAGAAGCAGTTCAGCTATGGATACCATCCTACTCTTGTTGAAAACTTTAGCCAGTGTTGGTCATCACAGGCTAGGTAGCACATTGGATCACATATTTAAAAAGCATCCAAGCAATTCATTGTCAGTTCAGTCTTTTTGCTCTATCAAGATTATCCTAAAAACAACTGTGTTACATGGAATGTGGAAAAGTCACCATAGGCCCTTGAGACCTCAAGGAGTCTGTCAAAGCCCTTGGACTTTAAGGAGAAAAACGCTAATCTGCTAAAACAAGACTGAAAACTTCCACAACTTAAAATATGCTTGAAGTCACATTGTGAGGGGTTTTTTAATGTGAGCACTTTGGAGTAATCCTTCGGGAATCAGGAAACCTAGGAAGCTCCAAGAGAGAGGCTGTCTATACTGCAGTGATTCACAATTTCCCTGCAAGAAAAGAACCCAGCTAACTAAGGCCCCATGGAGACACAAGGCCCTCTGACAAGCATTCAGACACTAACATCAAAAACATTAATTAAACTCCAATTAGATTGTCTCTGCAGCATAAGCATGCCTTAAAAATAGATACAAGAATATTAGCATTAATCATTACATTGCTAGATAATAGGAAGGCCTGCAAAATAATGACATTTTATTACATCTGGGGCACAGGAAAGTTTTGCTTGTCTCAAAAAAAGTAGTGCTTTTTCTCCCTTTTCCAGCAGTAGTGCTGACTCACAACTCAGCAGGAAATTTGCCTGATAAAGCATGCAGCTGCAATCTAGTGACAACTTTATTAATCTGGGCATAGATGAGGCACAGGTAATTTTCTTTATCCAGGCTCTCACCCAGGCAAAGGTTCACCTGTAATTAAAATAGAACTTCAGACCATTAATCTTGTAGTCACTATTCCAGATGACATTAAACATTTGATATGTTTTTAAATTGACAAGCATTTTTTAAAGTTTTCATTTAACCAAGGGTTGATTAAAACAAGGTCTCATCTAATCTTTGCTTATTAAAGTGCATCAACTAATCCTAATGCTTGTGCTTCCTAAAACAGCAAAACATTGCTTGATATCTGTTTCAGAAATATCAAAATATATTGTTGCAATGAGCTCAAATATTATGTGCCATTATATCTGGTGGTTTAACATTGAATCCTTAAGGCATTCCTTCTTTGAAGTGGCATCTGATTAGCTGGGTGAGACAAATATTGCAAAACAAGTTTTAAACCATGATTAAATGCTTATGATATAAAGTAAAGAAAAATCTGTGTGTAATGAAACAAATTATTTAATATAGGTCCTATTCTAAACTAGTCTTAGCAGCTCTACAGTTATTTGGACCATCTGCAACCCTACAACTGACTTTCCAAAACAGATATGATTTTAACATTGAATTTGAAAGAGCAAGTAGAAAAATAAATGCCACATTAAAAAAAAATCCTTATTGTTCAAAGGATCCAATATGGAATGTGAACATTGTTAACATTTAAATCTGGAATCCAAGAACATTTCCGAATAAAGAAGACATCTCTGTATAAAATTCCTTTTTATGGAATGGGATAAAGATAATAACAACTAAAACAATCTACAGAGACAAGAAAAAGAAGTCCAAAATGCAAGCAAAAACCCTCTTACATGCCAAAAATTAGACCTTCTGTCCCCAAGAATAAAAGTGTTGCAATTTTTAAAGAGAAATATTTTCTTTTTAAAAAATTGCCCTCTAGTGTTGGATATTCAAAGAGCACTGAGAAGCAGCTGACTGAACTAACCAAAGCCAAGAAAAAAAAAGGGGGGGGAAAAACCCCAACAGGCAATAATAGAATGTTTTTTTCCACTGAAACAGAAATGTAGGGGAAAAACAAAGGAAAACCAGCTTGAAATGAGAACATATATGCATGGATGACTCTATGGAAGTAACAGACATGCAAACTTCCCCTTTACAATTAAAACTGGCGTCTGGAAAATACAATTTGTTGTTCAAGGGAAAAACTGGTAACCAGCTTGCTATAAAATAGATTAACTTCGTTGACTTTGGTGCACCTAAACTTCAAGAAATATGCACGATTTTTCCCACCAAGCTCTGCTTCTCTGTTCCATCTTCTCTTTTGTAGCACTGACCAGCCACAAGAGAGTTCAGTTGCCTTTGGCATTATCTGTGATCCCAGTCATAAATAAGGGAGCAATACACACATTCTATACACATCTTGAAAGAGACAGACGTGTGAAACCCAGGATGGGGTGAAAAGTAGCATGGACAGCAGCAACTCAGGCTGAAATAGAGGAGTATTTATATTACCAGGCTTGAGTTTTATCCAGCATATTATTTTTTAAAAATGATCCCCAAATAATTTGGTTTCTCCCAACTGTCATGGCTCACAGCTAATTCATAACCCTGGATATCACCGTATTTCCACAGATGAGGCTTTAGAGGCCGAATGCACAGTTGTCCTGTGTACATTTGTCCATCCAAACCCATCATGAAGGCTGGCCCTTACATAAAATCAAAACATTAAGATGCAGCTTTCCCTTTGCCATCTCTCAATATTCAAAAGTTCATTAAGTCCAACTAATTTGGAGGAGGGATGTTTAGGAGACCTATCTAAAAACAATTATTTTGATCTCAGTAACTGCCTGGGTCGAAGTGACCTCCCTTTTTGGGGGGTACCAGCCCCTTCTTTTCCCCAGAGACCTAACCCCAAGAAAAGGGGCAGGGAAACACACCCCATTCTTTTGCTCCTTCTTGATTTGTTGGCAATTCGGGGGGGGGGGCTCATTTTCCCCTAGCCAAGAGGAACAGCAGCCCAGCCAGACAGTCTGTGCTAAGTAGTGTCTTTAAAATTGATAATTAAAAAACAGATATGACTATTTAGGTATTCTCCTCAGGGCATATTGATGTGAGGAAAAATAACTTTGTTTTGAGACCACATTCATTCCCACTATTACTGTTTGAAACCCTTTGTGCCGTTGCTCTGACATCACAATGACAAGAATACTATGATGAATTCCAATTGGATGGGGAGAAGTCTGGGGGGTTAATCCCGGTGCCCTGGAAGCATGTTGAGGAAGAATTCAGCAATGCCGATGAAATAGACAACTTGTGCAATACCAAAGAGTGGGGCAATGACCAAGGCTCTGCAATATGCCCCCTTAAAAAAGGCCAAGGGACCCTCATTACGCCAGATTTTCCTAGAAAAGGACACAAAGAAAAAAGATGATACCACAGCTGGCTTCATATATCATGTTAAAACATGACTGGTTTTAATAACGGTTTGTTGAATACATTGTATTAATCCATAAACCATGGCTTACAAACCACACTGTCTGGATTTGCCAAATATGCTAAACCAAAATCAAATCAACCACTTTACACACCAGGTGTACATACCAAAACCCGTGTGGGCCCAGAGAAGGGAGTCCCCCCTTTGGCATATGCCCAACTAGGTTTCAAATCTGGTACCAGCCCTGAATTGTGGGGGCAGGGGGCGGGGGGGCGGGTAGCAGTTGCAATTCAGAAGATCTTGATGGCTTTCAGAAGCTGTGCTCTGGAGATAACCAGATATGAGACTCTTCAAGATGAACTTTAGGGAATAGTTGGGTTTGTTGCTGTTGTACTGGCCTCCCTGCTGTGCAGCAACATTTCTGCCTGAATTCCATTGCTGGGTTAGCTGTTCAATCCCCAAGGCTGATTGTTCTTTGGGATGTTAACTTGCTGCTGAGTGACATGGAGTCTGGGGCAGGTAAGGAGTTCATGATCACCATGGTAACCATGGACTTGACCCAAGTCATTGAGGGCCCAATACACACTGGGGGTCACACACTAAATCTAGTCTTATCTCGTGGCAGTTGTACTATGGAGGACATTACCATCAGACCTTTGCCATAGTTGGATCACTCTATGATTGCTTTTCAGCTTGCAGGGAGGTTAGAGTGATCCACCACAGGAGACTAATGGACTTAAAGAGGTTCCAGAGGGAACTTGAGATTTTTCTTAAGGATCTGGTGAGCAGTTCCACTGCAGCCTCAGTTGCAGACTGGAATGGGCATGTAATGAGGGCCTTGGATCAGATTGCTCCTCTGTGACTCTCACTGTGTGTCAATCCCAAACCAAGTACTCCTTGGTTCTTCTAGTTGCTCTGGGAGATGAAGCACCAGAAGAGACACCTAGGGTATCACTGGAGAAAGACAAAGAGTGAACCTGACCAAGAGTGTGTAAGAGCCCACATTAGGGATTACACTGTGGCAAAGAGAGCAGCAAAAATATGCAGGGCTGCTGTAAGTAATGTTTTAGTTATCTGGCAAATAAAGTCACTCAGATTTGCTCAGAGTTGGACTCCACTGGGCAAGTCCTATTGAGGTGATTGAGACTCAGCCTTGCATGTTTAGCTGGGATAAGGCTGAATCTGTAACTCCTGAGAAAGTGGACAGAGCTCTAATAACCACCTATTAGATCCATGTCCTCCTGGCTGGTGAAGGTTGTGCGGGAGGTCATGTGTGCTTGGATCTGTGCTGTAGTGTCAACTTCTTTGAGGGAGGGACGGTTCTGTCTACCTTGAAGGAAGTGGTGGTGAATCATTTCTCAAGAAGCCAACAGTTCTGGACTTTTGTCCAGTCTCCAACCTTCCCTTTTTAGGGAAGCGGGGTGGGGGTGGGGGTACCAGGATGCAGTGATTCTCCTCCTTTCTCTGTGGGCAGTTGCAGTCAGTGTTGACAGGGACGAGAGCCCAAAGCTCCTCATATGTGGGATGCCACAGGGTTCAACACTCTTGCCTCTTCTATTTAACATGTATGTGAGGTCCTCTGTCAGTTCAGGATCAGGTATTGTCATTATGTTGATGATACCCAGCTGTGTATCTCAACCCCTTACAATTTATTAGGATTATCACAATTTCTTTAAGCAATCATAGCTCTTTTCAGCAGCAGATTGAGTTTTATTCCAACTATTATCAAGGCACTATCATTCCATTGCTAATACTGTTAATTACTCATTAACAACATCCTTATGACAGAGATGATTTACCTGGCACAGTCTATTATCCCTGAATAGCTGTCCTCATTGACTCCCCTCTGCAAAGACTGAAGTCTTGTCTTGATTACTGGAGAAAGATGATAGCAGAGTTTGTTACAATCAGTCCTTAATCTGTGTCAAGTTATTTTTTGCAAGCTTTTTAGTTGTACAAATACTTGTAAGCAACCTATCAAAGCTATACTAGAAGAGATCTTACGAGCTCCTTACAATTCTCCCTCCAAGAACATATCACCATTTAATCTTGATTTTGCTAAACCATTTCTATCATTAGCAGCAACCCACATCCTTCTTAGAACATTCCACTGTATCTGTGCATGCCCTCAGCAACCATTTTCTGGGGAGGGAGAAGAGCCCTTAAGTCATATTCTTTGACATGACTCATGGGTCTCCTTGGACATCATACATTCCTTGGTAATGGGCAATTTGTGTAATGGACTGTGGGAATGACCTTGGGAGACAGGAGGAAGAGCCGCAGCCTAGACAACCATCACGTAAAAGGTATCTCAGCCCACAGAAGGAAAAGAGGTGTGGGACGTGTCTCAGAAGGGATCCTCCCTAGTTGTCTGGAAAGTAAAGGCAGGGGAGGGGAGAAATACTTTCAGACTTGCAAGATTCTGTTACTGTACCCTTACAATAAAGGTAGTGTTAGTATTCATGGTTGGTGCTTCTTGTCTGGATTACCTCGAAGTCCTTAAAAATTGATCTATATTATGTTCAGTAAACTATCTCCAAAAGGATGATTCATGAGAATTATATTCAATATGTGTAAACCAACTCCTTGAGAAATCTCTGATGCTTCAGAGGAAGCCATGTGGAGCTTTCAGATGACCTGGAATTAACCCTTTGTTCTACATGGGTTGCCTTAGCTGGTTCTTTGATTTTCTCAGAAATAGCAGAATAGAATAAATTATCCCAATAACTTTGTCCTTATTAGCAGATGAACATCAGAATTCTGCTGTGTTAATACACTGGACAGTGTTAACATAGCAGAATTCTGATATTCATCTACTAATAAGGACAAGGTTTTCCCAGTGTCTGTAAATTTGTCTTTGATGTTTTGGGACTAAAATTTAATATAGTTTTTAATTTTTTAAAACATTTGTCCTAGAGCTTTTGTTTTGGTTTGACTGTTTCCCTCAGCATCCATAGCCAGCAATGTTGATGGATGTACCTGCCCCCCAAACCCCAACTGAGTGTTACAGCAGTACTTACCATCACAAGGATTGACAACTACGGCTGCTGTGCTGCCCGCCAGGCACCCAGCCAGGAAGGAGACATAGAAGGGAGCCTTGACTTCAGGGCTCTTCTGCCCCAGCTTGTTCAGGTTGGCAAACAGTGGAAAATAAACAATGGAAAATGGGACATCCCTGCAAGAAGAGAGGCAAGCAATGAACGGGATGAGTGAAGAGCTGTTTCTTTCTGTCTCGTAATAGCACTGGCTGGCCACACACTTGTTCATTATAACCATCTGGTGCGTGCAATGAGAATGTAATTCTGTTTCTCAATTTAGGAATGCAGCTGCGTTTAGCTCCATAAACCTGACTCCACAGAGCCTCCCTGGCAAGCTTCTGGCCTTCCCAGCTGAATGAACACCTAAGTGAAGTTAACGGCACTCAGCCAGATCCACTCCTTTCCAGCCACGCCCCTTCTTCTCTCCTGTAATATTTTCTCACTTCCAGTTTACACGCAAAGGAAATTTCTAAGGGACTAAGATCCGTCTCAGGGAATTTTTTTTTAAAAGTTGCTTATAACTAATAAAATCAGCAGCAGCGGCAGCGATTCTTAATATAGTCTTAATAATATCTGAGAAATATTAAATGCAACACTTCTGAGACAGACAGCAACACTACATTATTTAATCTGAACAATATAGATGGAGCCAAAGGCAGGTCCATACACCTGGTCCATACACCTGGTCTATACACCAGGACCTTTTACCTAAACACAAACATACACATCCACCCACATACAACTGAGATGGTTGTGTTGCATCTGGAGAAAGTGCCAACCTGAGCAACGTGGCTCCAAGTCCCTTATACAGTCCTGCAATGCCTTTGCTTCGAAGCAAGTCTCTTGTGATTTGCATTGCTGTCATTCGCGTCTCTACCACTGACTCTGCGGCCCCAGTGCCAGCGGATGGGCTGAGCTGAGCTTGTGCTATCATGGACTTCTTCTGAGCAGCTGCAGAGGAATCAAAAGGACAAAATCACTTAGATTCTTCCATTTCAGCCTGAGGATGCACCACAAGCGGAAACCACCACAGGCGGGTTAAACCGTTAAATAAGGTATCCTTCTCTGACCTCAAAATAAAGAGAACAACAGCACAAGACAGAATTTTGCTTATTCTCATACACATATTGCTTTGGCACGTATGTTAGGGGTATACTCACTTGTAATTTCTTATTGGTTAGCTATTACCACTGTGATGAACCTGGTTTCTGGAGGCCATTAAGGGTTAAACATGCTAATGTATTGTTAAACTATATTCCAAAAATCTGGAATCCTTCTATCTACCTTTTGCTATACCAAGCTCAGATTGTTGTTCGAGAGATGATTATATAGGGACTAAAGATCAAGATTGTTAGAAGTAAAAGGAAGGAATATAAAGTTGGTTAAAATAAATATGTTATCCCTGGTAACCCTTAATGGTTTTTTGCAGACAACAGGACTGAAATGATGAGGAATTATGGATGTGTTTATAGATAAGTCATGGGATATGGGAAGAAGAGATTATTTGTTCTATTTTAAGAGAAGGTGATTAGTTACTAAAATTGTTTATACTTGTGATGAAAGGAGAAGTCACTTCTTTATATATTTCTTTTCTTTTTCTTTATTATATTCTTATTTTTTCTTTCTTTTCTATTTTTCTTTGTTTTCTGCACCTTCTATTTTTCTTTTTATTCTTTTATTTTTTTAGTTTGTATTGTTGTAAATTGTAATCTTTAGTAAAATAATTTGTCATAAAAATAATAACTAAGGTGTCTTGTCTTTGACATCAAAATAAATGGAACAGCAAGAGAAAGAGTGTTGCTTAATCTCTCTCATCAAAGTATGCCAATTAGCCTCTTGCTATTGCAATTTAATTATTTCTAAATAAAATAAATGCATAGTGACTCATAACACCAAAATATAATGCATCCTATTATAAGGCCAATAAGGCTTTCTAGTATTAAAAAAAAGAAGAAAGGACTAGGGGAGCATGCGATCTCTCTACACGTCTATCCCTCATATGATAGACTGGCTAATATCATATCTAGCATGGATTTAACACTGTAAGAGTGCTTTTGATCATTTCTCATGGTCAATACAACAAATTGACAAGACTTGGGCAAGTGATATGCTGCTTCTGTTCCCCCCAGTACCATGACGTATAGTGGACTGATCTCACACACCACCACCTTTTTAAAGCTGAGCCCAAACATCTTGACTCTTTCATTTTTAATGTTAAATATGGTACAGCCTTCCTAGACCTCATTCAGGAGAAATCACCATGCAGCCCCTTTGGAAAAGAGTCTAGATCAGACTCAACAGAAAATAACAAGTCAGTTTATACAAAGAATGGTAGACTTCCAGCAAGAAAAGGCCACTGTATTGGGTCAACAGTCACTTACAATCCTGCCAGACCAGAAAATTACCTTTAATCTCAATCTTTAGCTTCTAAAAGTTTTTACTTTCCCCCCTCTGAATATCTGCTGTCATCAGCCAAGGGCACAAAACAGGGGCAACCATTCTAATTTATCTTTAAGATCTACACCCTCTGCTTTCTCCCATTAACTACTCCCTTTGCAATCCTCCTGTTTTTTCCATAGAGGGGGCTGCTTGAAGCCCTACCAAAGCTAATACACAGAGTTAAGGCAGCTTCTGCAGCAGCACAAGGTACTTTTGTGCCACAGTGAGAATTTTCTAAACAACATCTGGTTTAGCTTATTTGAACTGCAAAATGCAGACATGGGAAAAAAGAGGCAATTGAAAGTATAAAGAGATAATACAAACTAGGGCTCATTCACAGCAGTCCAGCTTGACATAACATCTATACTATACTGGAGCTTTATGAAATGAACAGTGTGGCTGGCTCAGCTCCAGCAACAGCAGTCATTCTTCATTCAACTCTATGTCCCACACTAACATCCCCCATGTTGGCTTTGGGGATGAGATGACTGTCCCGTTCCTGAATCCTTAAAATTAATGTTTCATACAGTAGTTAGCTGAAGTGCATTATACCATTTCAGAGCACACATATTCATCCTTTTCACACTTCGCCCACAGATTCAGTACTGGATTTTGTTTTGAAGTAGACCAGTCCAGACAAGTCCACACACACACCAAAAAAAAAAAAAAAAGTGGGGAGGGAGGGCATATAATAGTGGGACATAAAACTTGCCTAGGGCAAAACTAATACAGCTCCAGGGCCTGGGAAGGTGATTGTAGGAGGGAAAAGAGAAAATTTCAACAAAAGCATCGATTTCAATAAAAGCATCAAGAGTGACTAATCCTCCTCCTTGCATGAGTTCTCCAGTTTAATAATTTACCATCCAAGAAAGCTATTCTTTCCCCTGTCTCTTCTCCACTATTTAAATACCTAGAGATCCAATTTCATTAAGAAGGGATTCTATAAATGAGATAGATCACCCATATCTGGAAAAAAAGAAAAAAAAACTTCTGCATAAACAAAGGGGATGGACTGATGTCATCATAGAACTAATGTGTCAGACTCCAAATTCACTCCCGGACCTTATTATTGAATTCAGTTATTAAAAATGGAACTATTTAAGAGGGCCTTTGATTCTTAATCTAATCATCCATTTCTTGTATTTATTGCTTATTTGTTAGTTGTTTCTGTGATCTTTATTTTAATGATTTTAATCTTGGGATTGTTTATTTGGATGTATATTTGTAACATGGATGTTTTATTAGCATCATGAATGTAACCTGTTAAGACTTTTATCAACTGCAATGGATTAAAAAAAAGAGTAACAAATTAACTCAGTATTTCCAATCTGGCATCCTTTCATTGTTTTGTAGAAGTCCTCTTGTTATCTCCATGACTACTGACCATTTGCAGGACACAGTGGGAATTTTCATCTAAGTCTAAGATACAAGAGCCAGTTTGGTGTAGTGGTTAAGGCATCAGGCTAGAAACCAGGAGGCCATGAGTTCTAGTCCTGCCTAGGCACAAAGCCAGCTGGGTGGCCTTGGGCCAGTCACTTTCTCTCATACCTAGGAAGGAGGCAATGGCAAACCACTTCTGAAAACCCTTGCCAAGAAAATTGCAGGGACTTGTCCAGGCGGTCTCCAAAAATCGGATACAACTGAACGGATAAAAAAAACAGACTAAGATGGATGGTTTGGGATAGCTGTATCTTTCCCTTTGTCAAATCTTAAGCTAGGGTAGCTCACCTCAAGTCCCTCTACCATGGGGTAACTCAGTCTTAGCCTTCTCCCGTTATTAGGGGAACCATGCATTTTCTATTACTACATGAGCACTATAAGGAGAGTAGAGAGACAAATAGGTACCAATTCGGCCTGCATCCTGCAGCTGGATTTTGAGCATCTCCATGGGAGTGGTGACAATCACCTGGCAGGTCCCTGCCCCACAGCCAGCCAGCATCTCTTTTAGCAGCGTCAGATTCCTCCTGGAAAAAAGACAGGAAAGAAAGAAAGAAACAAGCACATAAAGAAAGTCAGCTAAGTGATCCAGACAACTGGCATACCCTGGTTCTAGGCAACAACAACAAACCAACCCAGTTTTGTTCTTTTAGTCAAACGCCCAGTTTTTGCTGCTAAGGAATCAAATGACAGACAAACTGTGGGGAATAAGAATCATCAAACCTATCCAGATTTGGTCTTCTTGATAGCGAATGCAACAAAATATGAAATCTGAAGACTACCAACTCAATAATACAGCACTGCAGGCCAATTTTGAAGGACCAAAGCTTTTTTTAATGAACGAAGACAACACTCAGAAGAATGCAGGTACATTGTCCTTGCTCTATTCAAAGACCATTTCTATGTTGTTATTAAAAAAAAAAAAAAAAAAACTACAGGCAAATTTATCCAAGCATACTGTTTGGTCAAACACTGGAGACACAAACAAATGAACCACAAACATTGGAGGAAGCGGAAAGAATCCAGGGAATTAATTATGTTCATCTATAATAGGCAAAAGGCAAAAGTCCCTAAGAGGTTGACAAGAATCCTGTTTTGGAAATAAAGGCACTGCCATGCTAGGCACTAAATCTCTCCCTTATTTCGCTTCTGCAGAAGTGCATAATGCCACATACTGCTGTCAACACCTGATGACATTACAAAGTCAAAATGTAGCAGGAGATGTACCCATGAGGAGTGTCATCGCTGTCAGAGCAAAGGAAGATGACAAGAAAGGGATCTGGTCTTCTTAGTCAGGCAACGCTTTGGAAAAGAAGTAACTTTTGAAGAGGGCAAATATAAGGGGGGTGAAGGAGAAAAGCAACTGCGTCATGGGTCCTCCCTTTAACCTTGAGGCATGTTATCTTTAGGTATTAGCCCTTTCCATCAAGCTGCCTTTTAACACAGAGGTATTTAATCTGCTGCTACAGGGGTCTGTAATCTGCTGACCTCGAAAGCCTCATAGGTAACTCCAGAGTACCTCTAAAAATTGCGACCATATTGGAAGATTTTCATGGGACAAAAGGAAAATTATTAAATACATGGGAATTCACTGAATTAAATATTGAATTATTTGTTTTCCAGTACTGGCTGCAAACAAACAGGATTAGGTCAGAAAATTCCACATACTTTTGGTAACTCAGCATAAAGTAAGTGATCAAATCTCAAGTTCTTAGCCTGTAATACTAGGCAAAAGCAGGGCAGTTCATAGTATCTGGAGCAGAAGAGGCTGAAATCCCATCACACTCAAGTCATCAAGAGGTTACTTCAGAGCCAGAATTAAAAGAATATGTTATCTGCTTAAGAAACAAAATCCTTCCTCACTCATGCCTCCTTCTAGAACTCAGAGAATTTCTGTTTTCTTTTCTTTCAACATATTTGACCTCATGCTCTGAAACATTTTTATTTTTGGTAAATTCCAGGATCATGATGTTTATATGGTTTTTTTTAAAGGGATTTTAAACTAGGCATCCAAATAGTCCAGCTTCTGTCCATGATGGACCAATGACCAGTCTTAATCAGAAAGAATAATTTGAAATAATACTTCCACATTTTAATTTGCTCATCCTTTTGCATATGATATCTGCTACTGTACATGATGGAAAAAATGAGAGGGGATTGTTAAATCACTTTAGTTACACTGAATAAAGAGGATCAAGAAAAAATAATGTAGGTAAGCCTAGCTGAAATCACACAGAGATCCATAGAAGAACCCTCTTTCCAAATGCACAGGCTGGCCTATTTCTGGCACTAGGGTTAACTGTCACTTCTCAGAGAATTCAGAGCAGCCAAAGACCTTGGCCACCAGCCACCGGTTAGAGCTGGAAAGGAGGTGGTGCATTATCCAGTTACTTCTTCAAAGCCAACACCACATAGTTGAAGCTTAGCAACTGTGATCCATCAACACCTTCCACCCTGTGGGAAGCGTGGAGTAGCATAACATTCATCCCCTTACCTACAGGGACTGCCACTGCTTCAAGCTTCCTCTCCAGTTCAGAATAATAGCTTCAGGCAACCACATGCAGCCAGTTCCTCAGTCTGCATGATTGTTGCTTAGGTGCGGTGTTCTGTCATCTGAGGAGATTATAGGTGTAAGGCCACAGAAAGATGATCAAATCACTAAATATAGATTTCTCCTTTGAGAACACAGGAAGGAATTTTCACTGTATCAAAGTCACATTGGTACAAAAGGAAACCAGAGAGTTGGCAACATCCTTTTTAATCCATTAAAGTAGTTGATTCCCTCCTTGAATAGAAACTGGCAGGAAATCAAGTTCTCTAAGGGGTTGATTTTCTCTGTTACTTTTTCTCGCAAAATATCTCTTAGGTTTAGATTTTCTTCTGAATATCTGTTGAAAATTATTTTTGAGTACTCAAAAACTGTGAAGTAGGCACTAGGTATTTTAAAAACACTTTTAACCCTTTTAAAATGAGCTACAATATTTTAAAAATTGGAGTTAGTTTGTGACTTGCCTCTGAATTTTTTTCCCCAAAACATGATTGAGATAATCTTATTTTCCAGATCAGGGTGGGCAGAAACTAGGTCATGGCCTGCTTGTGGTATCTATTTTTGGTAGATCATTGAGTTATCTCCTGATTAGTGGAAGGCTACTTTGGAAAAACTCTCATATATGTTGGAACCACAATATCTGGCATTTCTAATTAGCAAGGCTGAAATAATTCTGGAAGCTGATGTCTAGTGGATGCTGCTCTGAAGAACACTGTTTTAAAGAATGCTTGACTAGATGAAAATTATCTAATCTTCTAATCATTTTTTATCATCATCATCATCATTTATAAACCACCTTTCTATTCATAGGTACTCAAGAATGCATCATCACTAATCAAAAATCCCTTAAAGAAGCCTTTACAATTTAGAGGTCTTGAGTAAGTAAATAAACTAAAGACCCATGGTAGACCCTTAAAAAAAAGAGATCATATCATATTTGGCAAAAACATGTACATAATTACAGTTGCACTAAAAATAAACAAACTTGAACATTCAGTAATAACTGAAACAATTTCCCAAGAATAAGTGTAATGTTAAAAAAAAATAATTTTCTATCTCTCGTAACTAAAACAAACACATATTCTAGGCTCTCAAACTGATGAGTAAAGAAAAGTTTGGAAAGGGCATCCAGTTGATCTTCAGAATTTCCTGTGCCAGTCTATGTATCTGTCAGCCCTTTGAGGTAGTCCAGACAAGAGCACCAACCATGAGTACTAACACTACCATTATTGTAACGTTACAGTAACAGAATCTTGCAAGTGTGAAAATACCTCTTCCCTCCCTTACTTTTACTCTCCCCAAAACTAGGGAGGGTCCCTTCTGAGATGCTTTCTCCACCTCCACACCTATGTCAGACTCAGATTTCGTTTATCAGACCATTGCCTAGGCTGCAGCTTCTTCCTCCTGTCTCTCAAGATCATTCCCACATACCATTACAGTATCAATGTTAAACTACTCCACTTCTCTTTGATTATCCCATCTCCCATCATCCCATGGCTTTCTGCTACTACCCTTTCAACAGAATTAATCTGAATTGCTTTTACAACCTGGTAAAATGGACTTCAAATATGGGGAGGGGGGCAGTGGGCACATTTAGATTTTGGAAAACATGTCATGGGCACTTCAGCAGAATAGCTGTTACAATGTGTGTAGCCAATCAAAGAACATCCCTTTACCAGAAAGTGAATTGATGAATGTGCTTCCAGGATGCTACACCACAGAGAAACTAGGCATCATAAACATAAGGTCTCTTTCATTTCTGTTTATCAAGCAAAACAGTATCCCATAAAAGGGAGGGGGAAAGGTATGTTTCCCTGCTGATTAGGATAGCATGCATAAAGAAACAGCTAATGCAGCCATGCTTAATAGCTAGGAAGAGAAAGAACAAAGCTCAGCAACTTTTTTGGCCATTTCTAAACAACAATGTGAAGGTCAAGATAAAAAGAATAAGATTATATTGCACCACAGGAAGGAGTCAATATTAATGAAGATAAAGTTCCTTTGGAAACAGTAATACCAGTAGACCTTGTTGAGTGATCACAATTGGAACCAGCAACTCGGTCATTAAGTGAAGCTGTCGCTAAGTGAAACTGATTCTAAGTGGAAGAAACAGAACCTAAAAAATGAAATTACCCAGAGAAGGACATGGTTAAGTCTTAATTGCTGGGACTTAATTTACCCCTACCTGAATGGCAACTGAATGTTCCCACTTAAATTAACAGTCCACCCCACATTCTTAAATCTTATGTTTGATGTCAACGGCTAATTATATATATTTTCTCGTGGTGAGGATGGACTATGGAACAGACTATTGGAGTTAAGGCTGGCCCCTAACTTGTTAAACTTTTAACTGGATCTTTTAGAGTATTTTTATGCTTCTGGTGGTTAATTATTTGTTTTATCATTCTTGGATATGTGTAAATCACAGTGCTTGGTAGAGACACAAAATGGAAGAGGAGATATCATTAAAAATAATGAATAGGATAATAATTCTTATAGGCAAAAATCAGCAAGTTCTAAAATTAAGACAGCACATGCATCACAGTGCACACTATGCAGACAAATAAAGGGATTAATTATGTTCAGGGAATAGCTAGGCGTATAAAACTCCAAGATATAACTCTCCAATTTTATTCTTAAATTGATATTACAGCATAGCTTGTACAACATGCTCAACCCAGTTAATCACTAACTCAGTTAACTTCCTTACCACTGGTTCTGGCAGCACATGACCACATCAACTGGATCAAAAGGTGCCACTTTGTGGAATACGAAGTCCCCACCAGCAGCCCTCCCACTCCACCCCCCTCCACACATGGTCCCCTATGCTGTATGCTGACTATCATCACTCCCCTCTCCAAACACAACCCCAGGGACAGAAGATAGGAAAACCTCCCACCTTTTTTCTTGCTTTTCCAACTGTCACAATGGAGGTTCTAAGATGCGGACATCCGCATTTATGTTCCCTTGAAGCAATTTTATATCTGGTCTTGAAATTCAAAAACATAGCTCTGTAGTCCTGAGTGCTGCACTGACTTGAGTGCTGCAGTGCTTAATCAAATCATTAAAATTCCAACTATAGTACCCGCTGAATTTTTGCTACCTCTGCAATTACTCATTTGCAAAAGCAGCACATGTATTAATAGGCAGAGTGCTAATACTTCTGCTATATCTAGGTACATGTGAATGCACATTCACTTAAGGTTGACAGTGGAACTAATTCCGTTCTACTGGGTTTATTGCTATTTCTAACACAAACGTATCTATGATGCTACAAAACTGCCTTTGCAGCCAGATGTCTACAGCAGGTAAAACCAGTTCCACAAACCTGGTTCTGCTATTATCAACAAGCCATTTAACACCCATAACATGCTAATTATGTGTGTCAAGAACTGCATTTCCATGCATTCCACAAGGAATTTGACTCTGAGGCCCATCCCATCCTCAACAGTTTTAGGTTATCACAAATACAGGGGCCGCAACACTGGAGGTTTGTAAAGGTCCTATAGATCAGTCCACAGATTCATGATTGGGAATGCATATAGGCAACATATTGTATGGCACCTTTTATTTCCCAAGTTTCAGTAAAGCCAGATAAGAAGACTTGAGATGAGGCTTTTAATTAACAGAGGTTTTA